GCCCCAGTGGTAAATGCCGCCAACCAGTTTGAATTATTTTTCCCTTGCATGGCATTCTACGGCCACTGGCACCACCCTCGCCCTCACCACCACAGCAACAGAGTGCATTGGAGGAGGCCAACGAATTTATGCCCTTTTACTGGCATGTATGTCAGAACGGGGGCGTGGCGGCGGTGGTGGTTGCGTCGATGACCCTGCAATATGCATGCCCTAAAAGCCGTGCACTTCTGCCGATGAATTATTCGCTCTTGTTTAGTTCAAACATTTCATTTCTCATACTGGGCGGCGGCGGTGGCGGCGGTGGTGGTGGTCGATGCTGCCAGTAGCAAATATGCGTTTCCGAGTTAGTACAGGCCGAATAGAGGCTGGGTGTGTGTGTGTGTGTGCGTGGGAACTGAAGGGAGTGTTCGGAGTTCGCAAAATTGCATGTAAATTATCTGAAAGCAAACCGAAAGCTTTTGCTCTATGCGACTATCAAATCGTTCAAAACAAAAATAGACTATCTAGTAGAGGCATTAACCTTTGAAGTAAAGGGCGCCATGCTTGGTGCACAGTCCATTAAATTGTCAAGGGCCTAGGCAGATGCACGGTTGGGAAATATAAATTCTAAAAACAATTATCCTGAGCTCTCTGATATAATAATGAATGCTTTAGAAGGCTACAAAAAGTTTAAATAACAAAATATAGTGCTGTTTCGGGGCGATTTGACCAAAGAGTGAGATTGGAATAAAACAAGTACTCGTGTTAAAATATTATATGCAAAAAAAATAAAGCCAAAAGTGCCCGCTGCACAGATTGAACCGGAAGGAACTAGAAGAGGTAGACAAGTATTTAATACAGTATAGACAGAAGTAGATTTTTGAAACATTTTTCCCCGGTACGAATTTAAATCAGGCTTAGACAGCAGGATGTATTGAATTCAATCAATTTTACGACGGCCTTTCAACTGCATCCCGTCGTTAGATAACGAATTCAAGCATAGAGTACATTGAATTTCATAGAATATCACTGCATAACTGCAAGATATCAGTGTAAATAATGATTGACTGAAGGAAACTATATTAAATAAACCTTCAGGGAGAAAATGGGGTCCTGAGTAAAACTAGCTGCTCAATTCCCCAGGTAATTGGACGTTGGCCACGTGGTCCAACTGCTTACACAGGTCGGGTTTCTCCCGTTGTATGTAGGCCGATCCCAGGTAGCGCAGGTTCTGATTGTTTCGTGCCCGAGCAAGTACTCGGAAAGCTGCTTTCAGGTCGACCGAGTGTAGCGTCCGAGCAGGGAAAGCCTGGTAGGTTGCGAAAGACCGGAATAGGGACCAAAGGCTTTGGATCAGGTTTTGGAGCCTCGCGGAAGATCTCTCCTAAAAGAGCATCCATTTCATCAAATGGAGAAGTGTAGTTGTCATTGAATGGATTCATTACAATAAATGAAAGTGTAATCGAATGAATAATGTTTATTGAGTAATATTGAATGAATACTTAATCGTAGGATGAAAGAGATATAGAAAAACGTTGTAACTTACCGAACTCGGGGATGAAGGGAAGATAGTCCAAAGCAGCGAGTGATGGCTCGACCTGAGACCAAAAATTGAACTTGTAACCAAGGAAACCAATAAAAACAAAAGTGGGTTGGGACGGTTCATTATACGAGTGACCACTCTCTAGCAGGTGTTTAGTAATCGAAGATCGTGGTACTCTTCCGTCTTGCTTGAAAAGTCGATTAGGCAAGTGTTTAGCGGCCCTGGCTGACTGCTGCCCTTGCGAACGCCCCATGTACTTGCATCTGCAAGTGCACGTAAATTCACAGGTACAATTTAGGATAACGTGCAACGGCAAGGCATCCTTTGCCCCTTTTTCCGGAAGGCTTTTAATAGGGCTGATGAAAAAAAGTGCAGCTGCATTGTACGTACAACGCAACCGTCGCTTGGCTGTATTCGAAATATTGTCACCCTTAAAGGGTAAGAATATAGTTACAGGCTTTTTCGGAACCATCTGTTCCGTCAGTTTTGGCCGTAAAGGATTGCACTACTTTTGGAAGAAACGTAGAGGATAGTCACGGTTAAGTAGAGTTGATTTGATGCAGAAAAGTTCTGCAGGTAGTCTCACTAGAGCAAATGTTCCTCGATCTGTGAATAAGGGTATGTGCCAGAGTTAGTTTCCATTATACTGGCACAATACTGGTAAAGTGTAGATATTACTTCCTCCAGGTATTTCCGAGAAACACCGAAGGCTCTATTGAACCATCATCCTCTCTAAATATGAGGACTTCAAGGGAGGGTAGCTTTTTACACTGCTCCGTTTCCATTTTAAATTTAATTTTCAGGTGTATAAGATAGTTAACGAAACAAAATAAGATCATTTGCAACCTCTATTTACACAGCATTACTATCACTTATAACAGTTAAAGGCGAAAGTACTTTTACTCTCTAAGATACTGCTTGTCATTTAAGCAAATCTAGGCATAAGAATAAAAGGTGTTCAGTGCTCTGGGTAATTTAATCTAATTCCTTTGACCGAGCTGTGCGAACCTCGGTCTCCTCGGTGGGATTCGTACCCATGACAGCGGGGAAAAGACTTTAGTACAGTCAACGCTTTAACCACATAAACTAAGACGATCGAGCGGGAGCCATGAATTTACTGACGGGCAACTTGAACAAATTTCAACTTAATTTACATCCATTGATTGGTCCTTAAACCGTTTTCTTGTTATCATGGGTTTCAATCCACCGAATTTTTCAAAATTAGATAAAATTCCTAATAAAACCTGCAAACGCACCTATTTATTTAATATAAAAGTGTCTTTCAAAATTTAAGCAATAACTTGGCTAATAAATATCTTTATCTGCAAGATTTATTCCAACATCTGGTGAGATTTATAATTGAAAATGTGACAGTATACCCACAGATGGATATAATTAAAGCAGAGCTTACCCCTATATCTTACTAGAATAGACCGACTGGCTGACAACAAACATACACGGGAGACTCTTTTTTGACTTTAATCGGTGGATAATTTGCTTCTTTTTTGTTTTTGTAAAATAAGTAGGCCACGATGTCTGAGCAAAGCCCCCACCTAGTTGAATACGACATTTATGGATGGACCTTCACCCGACCGCAAACGGAATTCATCTGTCCCGCTCTACCTGGGGTTTCGACTGAAGCCCTGATAGCCGTAGCAGCTGGTAGTGTAGGCAGATGGTATTTCCGGCAAAAACAGGCGGGAGACTGGAACGGACATTTCTGGCTTATTAACCGTCATCAGCCAGTCATACCCAGACCCAAGTGGTGTCCCACCCGAGCCTCGAACTCACAACATTTTTGATCAGAGTCAACTGTCCTAACCATTGAGCCATGAGGTCGTTGTCTTGCCGAGTTAGGTCGAAGGATATTGACACTTGCTTTTGCCGGTAATACTATCTGCCTACACTATCAGCTGCTACGGCTGTCAGGGTCTCTGTCAAGACCGTAGACAGAGGGAAAATATGAGTTCGTTAGCGGTCGGGTGAGGGTTCATCAATGACTGTCAATATCCTTTGACATAACCCGTCCAGACAACGTGCTCGTGGCTGAAGGGCCAGGGCGTTTAATTCCGATCGAGGAGGTCGCGAGCTCGGGTGGGACGCCACTGGGGCCTGCGTATGACTGGCTGACGACGGCTAATAAGCTAGAAATGTCCATTCCAGTTTCCCTTGTCTTCGCCGATAATAGTATTTGTGTATGCGACATTTTTGCAGACCCGATATAATTTTGGCGGACTTGATCGTTGTTGAATGATAATCTAAAAATAACCTCTTATCACGAATCGGGGCGTGAACCTTGAGGTAACTCGTTTATACCTTTGCCTCTAAAATGACCTTGGTTTGGTCGACCAACAGGAATGATGAGCTCACAACTGAGACTGTTGACAAATTCGTGTCCTAGCGACTAATTAATCACTCAAACCTGGAAACTATCCGCGAGTGGACCGAACGTTCTCCATCCGTTGCCTTTCTTCAATTATAAAATGAAATTTTAAGCAAAGTCAAGTTTATATTTGTGTTATTTATTCAACATATTCGCATTTTACGGGCGAAAAAACTTACACCGGACGGTGGGGTATACATACAGATCTGCTCCTGCCAACGAGCAGTCCTCCGTTGCCTAGAAGATAGCATGCTCTTTTAAAGTAGAGTGCGCCTAATATCCAGGAATACTACTTCAGAAAATCTTTTTATGAAACAATTTCATCCATATCCTCTAGAAAACAAAGATCGACTCGTGTCATAAGCTGAAAAGTACCCCTTCCCTGTTGTTATTGATTTTATTCTAAAGCTAAAGAATTAATTGACAAAGGGGTTTGGCAGATTTGAATAATTAATTTGACCCCATTTGTGATAAACTCGCCGGATTCGGTGGGATTCGAACCCACGCCGACGAGGATCCTCGTAAATCAGTTGGCTATAGCCTTGGCTGTGCGGGGTAATTAATTGTTGAAACTAAATCCGTGAAAACCAATTGTTTAGCCCCATATATCCGCGCAATAAAAGGGCAGAGTTCTAGATTCGGTTTCTGTCTTCGTCTGATTAAAACCGCGTTGAAGACACAGACAGTAGGGATAAAGTAGTCGAGAAGATTCGCTTTTAACTCGCATTTCCCGGGGCAGACGTAGGTGGTGGTAGTGGGTTACAGTTCTGTTTTCATTTTTTCATAAAATCATAAGATAATAAATCCAGAAGAGTATTTGGCGAGCATACGTAGCTTTCGATTCATTCTCCTCGGACCATTACATTTATATGGGGAAAGGGTAAAATGTAACATGCGGGCAATTATATTCATCATTACAGGTAAATTAGTCATGAGAATAGGGGA